TGGGGACCCTGCAGCCCTCTGGACTCAATATTGAGTTCAATAAATTTAGGGCCAGACCTCTCCGATGTCTTTATCCAAACCCCCATGCATTAGGTCTTGTTAACACACAGTCAGCTATTACACACAACCCATTGGTAGCCACTAACAGTCTCCATTAATAGCTATTCACCCTTCTTGTCAGATCATTAGCCACTCCATTCTGTCCAACTATTCTTCTCTCCCTTTGGGCTCTATCCCCACCTTACCCCCACCCCACCCTATCATCTGCATATAAACCAACATTTTCCCAGCTACCATCAGTTCTGAGGAAGGGTCACTGGATCCAAAATGTTAAGTCTGATTTTGTTCTTTACAGATGCTGTCAGACCTGCTGAGCTTTTCCAGCAACTTCTGTTTTTGTTCAAGAAGGAACACAGACTGGCTGACCACTTTTCAGAACACCTACTGTCTGTAAAGATGACCCTGAGCTTCCTGTTGCCTGCCATTTCAACACACCACTGCATTCCCTTGCCAACATCTCTGTCTCGGGCTTGCCGCACTGCTCCAGCAAAGCTCAGCACAAGCTGGAAGAATGAGGTTGTAGACTTGCTCGCCGAGCCGGTGTGACATCGTCAGTGCGCCTCTGGTGAAGCGTTGCTGTTCTGTCCCACTTGTTATTTATATGTCTCAGTTTACTGGGGTGGTTGGCATTACTTCCAGTTCTGTTTTTCAGTGGTTTGTATATTGGGTCCAGTTCAAGGTGTTTGTTTCCAGTTGGAATGCCAGGCCTCCAGGAATTCCCTGGCATGTCTCTGTTTGGCTTGTCCTATTATGGATGTGTTGTCCCAGTCAAATTTGTGTCCTTTGTCCATGTGTATTGAGACCAGTGAGAACTGGTCATGTCTCTTTGGCATTCATCTATCCTCATTGTCAGTTTTCTTCCAGTTTGTCCTATGTAATGTCTCTCACAGTCCTTGCATGGTATTTTGTATATTACATTAGTTTTATTGGTTGTGGGTATGGGATCCTTTACATTCGTTAGTAGCTGTCATAGGGTGGTTGTTGGTTTGTGGGCTACCCTGATACCTAGGAGTCTGAGTAGTGTTGTGGTCATCTCTGATACGTCCCTGTACAGTAGGGTGACTAGTGAGTCTGGCCGTGTTGTGTCGTCTTGTTGTGGTCTGTCGTGGAGCTAATGGCAGATTGTACTTTTTGTGTCTCCATTACTTTTAAAAACTCCATATAAGTGCTCCTGTTCTGCTTTGCGCTGTTCCGGGTTGCTGCAGTGTGTTGTGGCTCGTTTGAATAATGTCCTGATCAAACGCTGTTTATGGGAGTTGGGGTGGTTGCTGTTGTCATTAAGTATCATTAAGTATGTGGTCTTTCTGAAAACAGAAAAGATACATGAACACCAACCAGCCACCAACAGAACTGACCAGTTCTCACTTGTCTCAATACACAGGGACAAAGAAGGACAAGAATTCAACTGGGACAACGCATCCATAATAGCACAAGCCAAATAGAGACATGCCAGGGAATTCCTGGAGGCCTGGCATTCCAACTGGAACTCCATCAACAAACACATTGAACTGGACCGATATACAAACCACTGAGAAACACAACTGCAAGTGATGCCAACCACCCCAGCAAACCGAGGCATATAAATAACAGTGGGACAGAACACCAACGCTTCACCGGAGGTGCACTGATAATGTAACCTAGCAGGATGACAAAACATCTGCAATCAAACACACTGGCTTGGCGAACAAGTCTACAGACTCATCCACAACCCGAGCTACAAATCTTCTCAAAAACTTTAGACTGGAAGAATAGCTCCTCATTTTCTGGGGATCCTGCAGCCTTCAGGGCTCAACATCGAGTTCAATCATTTCAGTCAAAAACAGACATTGCTGTTGCTCCAGCAATCTGTGGGTCCTTGTTTTATTTCAATAATTTAATAACTTGAACACCTTCTTCCATGTCCTTTACCCATCCCCCACACCCCAGGCGCTGTCAATGACATGGGCTACTTTCAGCACAGCTAACCCACTAATCCTACTCCTAGTCCCCATTATCAGCTTTTCTTCCTCCCTGGTTTAGTATTAACCAGCCCTTTGTCTGCCTAACTGTCTTTCTCTATCACGGCTCACTCTACCCCCAACCCCTGCCTTCAGCAATATATACCACCTTCTCCCAGCTACTATCAGATCTGAAGAAGGGCCACTGGACTCGAAATGTTAATTCTGTTTCACTCTCCCCTGTGGTGCCGGAAAAAGGGCTACGTACTCCTGGAATCTTCCTGTTTGTATTGCACATTTGGCAGCATTTTGCTTTCGTGCAGTTCCTGCTCTGATACGGGCTTCACCAATTCGCTGTCGTCGCTGCGCTGTCACGTCCTCGGTTGCCATGGTAAAACATTGCTTATTTTTAAATGATGTTTTGATTCAGCGGCGACAACGGGACAATCCGGATTTGTGATTCCACCCAAATTCTTCTACATATTAAAGCGGGTGGCTTAGCTTTGGAAGGGCCACAAATGTAATTTTGATAGGGATTTCCTGAGCTGTTCAATGAGTGCATAACATTGTAACTGGCTGCAAGGGCGGAACTCCAGAGCTCTGTTTAGTTTCAATATTGGGAGGGACCATTCATTAGGGGCAACAGAAAAAACACAGAAAGTATTTACTGTGTCATGACTCACGTAATACATGTGCAGCTTTGTAAATATCACACATTGTAGCGTTATTTTTCAGAATATGATGAAAGATTATGCTCACAGTGTAGCATTGTGTCTGAATGTGTAAGTTTGTAGTGATAGACCCACCCCCTGCTGTTTGTAGAGTGGCAGGGCTGAGTTTGAAGTTACAAGCGGGAGTGACTCGTATAAACACTCCGAGCAGTCAACTCGCAGGTAAGGCAGCTCAACACAGGACAAGAACTTCCATTTCACTCTTTTCTTTTAAAAAAAAAGACTTTCGAAAATAATTCTTCACCACAGATTGGCAGGATCGACTGCTTGATTTTTTTTCCCCCTGAATGTCAGAAGGAAGGTGTTAAGGTTTTGGAGTAGATCTGTAGGTGTTAAATTTAACCTTGCAAATATGCTGTGTGCATTGCAGGATTATCCCTAGCTCTTGTTAAATAGTGTCGGAAAGGCTTAAATTCCGATTTTGAAATGTTAGTTTGTATTACGAGATTATATTTCGCTATTTTTGCGCTTATTCACCACAAACGTCTTGTGGTTGAATATCTAGGATGTGGGTCAGTTGGTTTTATTTTAGTTTAAAGGCCAGACTTGCCATTAAAACGAAAAAAAAATTAAAATGCAAATATTGGAAATCTGAAGTACCACCAGAAATTACGAGGAGGATACCGTACAGATCAGTGCCTGAGTCGGGAAGGCAAATTAACGATTAGAACCTCTGCGAACTCGCTCTGGTGGGAGGTTGCATCCAAATGTCTTAGATTTAGATTGAGACGGGTCTGGTGATGTCCCTTCCTCTTGTCTGTGCTTGCTACATATTTGGTGTTGATGCTGAGATACGCAAAGAGTGTACGGGACTGCAGAAGGTGACTATAGCAGCAATAGGTGCCCACGAACGCAGAAGGCACAAATTTGTGGCCATATCCCTGATGATTGGAATTCTCTCCGGTACCGTTTGTTGCAAACATTGTGGAATTCCGGGGCCTAGGGCTGGGTTCCTGGTTGGAATCTCCCGGGCACCCGCTGCCTTTAGCTGACTGCATCATCTATCAGAACAGCAATAGTGTCACTCAACCCCTGAATCTGTCCGAAATGGCTAATCTGCCATGGAATTTTGTTCCACATTCCCATAATCTCATATTTATCTAGCATCAGGTCTCGTTTGCAAAAGAGATTTCCACATTTCTTTGTGGGTAAAAGTGATGTCTAATTTCACTCCTAAGATAATAATAGGATCAAGAGTGGGTCAATGGGTCCACTGAGCTGCCTGCACAATTCAGAAAGGTCCTGCTGACCTAATTGCAGTTTTATCTTCACTTTCCTGCTTTTCCCCATTACCACATTCAGGTCTACGTCAATCAGAAGTTGTATTTGTGGTTTCATTTGTTGCTTCGGTTTCTACCTCCCAGTAGGTCCTCTCTGCCCTATGTTCCAGGGTGGGATGAGGCTTCCCCGCATTGGATTCACAACCATGGTTGATGGGTGGGGAAGTAGGTGGCCAGAGCTGGAAGAGTCCAAATAGTAAGCTGGATGTAGGGCTAGAGGAAGTTGTAAAGGTGAGAGGGAGGGATTTCCCATATCAGCATATTGGGTCCACCAACAACACATGGACTGCTGAGGTTCAAAAAGGCAGTTCATTACCACTTTCTCAAGGATAGCTTAGCATGAGCAGTAACTGCTGGCTCAGCGAGCAATGCCAACATCCCATGGTAAATAAAAAAATGACTATGTAGCAACTTATGACGATGATTCCAAAATAAGCCATGGTGAAACAATAGGAATTGGCATAGAGAAGCATAATGGGACACAGAGGGAGCAGGCTTCCATGGCTGAATGGTCTACTTCTGTTCCTAAGTTCCATGTTACAATGTGAATTGCTCTCTTTTACTTAGTGCATGCTGTACAAATAGTGCAGTTTTACCTTTTAAAAGTCATTTTGGTAAATATATTAAGGATTTTGAGGGCCACTTGTTTTTTAAAGAAAAAATCGAGGAAGAAAAGGGACAGTCATTTATACTCTCCACATTTAAGGTTCCCTTCCCTGTCAAGTTAACAAAAAAAATCTAGTGCTTTAACTGCTTTACTGTGCAGTATCTGGTCTGTTGGAACTAAAAGCTTGTCAGATTCTCAGCAACGCCAGGTAAACCTCTGTAAATGCAAGATCTTGTACCTGAGCATAAAACACCATAAAGGTTCTTAGTCATTAAAACTGATTGTAAAAGTGAGTTTTCCAGCACAGAGTCAACACTTAATAGATTGATTCCAAAGTCAAGTGGTGACAATTCCAAAAATGGAGGCTATTGGGAAGGTGCCATTAATTGTTGGACAGAAATCTTGTCACTCAGCAGTACCTTGAACGACCTGTCCTTCTTTCAACAGATTAATTTTCTGACTGGTTTAGAAAGGGGGAAAGCCCAGACAAAATGCCCAACAGTGAGGACACGAGCGATGCCTGTAGCAAAGGTCATGAGGAACCAAAGGACAGAGGAGCTTTGGCTGATGAAGCCAAATCTCCAACAGGAAAAGGTGACACCATTATGCCTGGCCTCTGCAAACCAGGGATTCCATGCTGTAAGTACAAAATGACCACTCTCAAGGCATCACTTAGCATGTCTCAACCACATCTCACTAACATGACATTTAAAAACCAAGACATCCACAACTGGTTTACACAGGTGCCTATGCTATAATGTCAGTAGTGCAGTCACACAAAACTGCTACTTACTCCACCATTTTTAAAATAATTTATTCACTGGATGTGATTGTCACTGATGAGCAGCATTTATTGTCCATCTCTAGTTGTCCTTGAGAAGGTGGTGGTGACCATATCAGTGTTGCCCACGAACTAGCAGAATCTTCATTCTGATCCTTACAGATCAATGACACAATAAGTGTTCATATTAATTATTGCCTATTAATTAACAATAAAGAAACATTAATCTAGATATTGGATCACATTGCACATCTGTAATCCACTGAAATGCCATTGCTTGAGAACACTTATTTGAAAACTTTGTGTAATCCTAATGATTAACTGAAAATGCTTTGGGAATGTCAAAATTGTCAAAGTTTTCACCTGCAGCAGCTTTCATTGTTGTTCATTTTCTGATGATAAAAGTTCAGACCTCTTCTTCAGGCTGACATTTGGAATTGAAGGATGAACCACAATTCTCCAAATCAGCAGCTTTTCCGACATGTGCCAACTGTCAGGTGTGATCCTCAGGCATTCCCACTAGATTAAGGGGGTGGGTACCCTTTGATCTGAATTAAATTTGGTGGTGTAATGAGCTCAGGATGTATGGACAGGGCATTAAGTAGCCTCAGGTGTCAGCGATGCATTGTGTGAGGAACTGGTGTACATGTACACCAATGTGGCATCATTCATCGCTTTATTGACACCTTAGGCTGGTATTTTACTGGAACACAGTCGGTACTGCCAACGGAACCAAATGCAGGTGCCTAGCCACACAACTGAACAGTGGGACCATGGCAATAAGACTGGGTCCACTGTGGCATTAAGGACCATTGAAGTGACCAGTGGTGACGCTGAAAGTGGAGGGAGAGGGCACCTCCATATTGAGGTACCCTCAAAGGGCTGGCATAAAAATATTTATGTACAAGTGCCCAGAGAGCCATCCCATGGTTTTTGAAAAGGAGAACCCTCGAAGGGCTGGCATAAAAAAAATTTATGTACAAGTGCCCAGAGAGCCATCCCATTGAATTGGATTTTGAAAGGGAAAACCCTCCAAATGTAGAATCAGGGCTATGGTGGATGGGGTAGCCATTGCTGATGGCAGATCCTTCTGTGGCTCACCTCCAATTGGCTTGCTGCCAAGTCACTAACATACACACTTTTGGTAAATTCCCATAGCTGAGGAAACATGTCAGGCTTTCCTGCTGATGCTTTCTGTTGCCATTTTGCCAGCCATCCCATCTCTGAGAGGCTGGTAATATTCACTATTACAAAGTTGATGTTGGGAATGTACTGTGTCTCTAAATACATGGTGTCCAAACCATTGTGCAAAATTGTTGATAACACAGCTACATCCCTTTGAAATAAAAACAGAAAGTGCTGGAGAAAATCAGCAGGTCTGGCAAAATTTGTGCAGAGGGAAACAGAGTTAACGTATCAAGTCTGACACGACTCCTCTCCAGAATTCTGTTTCTCTCTACATGGATGTTGCCAGATCTGCTGAGTTGCTGTGATACTTTCTGTTTTTATTTCTGATTTCCAGCATGTGCAGCACTTCGCTTTTATTTGAGCTCCCCTTTCAATTCTATTTGACTGTTGCAAGGATAACAATGTTCAACTTCAATGGAAATGCATGAATGTGCCAATTGCCATTTTAACTATGGTGACTGGACAGCAGTCTGGAGCAGGAATCCATTTTTCTAACATGCACAGAGGCCACGGGAACAATTATTGGGGAAAACGGTGAGTGGGATAATGAAGGACACCCCTCACAATTGTTTTGATATCCATTTCTTCCTCAGAGTTAAATGTTCATTCCCAACTCTAAGTGCTTGTGGCTCTGTCTGAGACCAATAGCAATATTCTTTGTGCCATTTAGCTGAGTGGATAGTTCAAAGTGAATTTAAACCTCACAGATCCAGCATCCCTTAACCAGCTCATATGAAACCCAATGGTTCATTAAATCTCTTCCAGGCATTTACAACATTAACATGAGGTTTGTTCAGATATAGTACTGGACACAGGAATTATGCTGTATAGAAACACTGAGAAATTATTTCCTTTGGCTGGGGATCTAGAACATGGGGGCACAGTCTCTGTTTAAGGATTCAATCATTTAGGACTGACATAAGGAAACGTTTCTTCATTCAGAGGGTGGTGAACCTTCGAAAGTTTCTACCCCAGCAGGTTGTGCGTACTCCATCATTGAATATATTTAAGACTGAGATTGATTGAGCTTTGATCTCTTTGGGAATCAATTGAGACGACACTTACACTAGCTGCTCTGAGCATGAAATTGGACAGAGCAAACCAAAAAGGCAAACTTGTAGCTTCCCTTTAGAAAGTCTAGCTGACTGATGACAAAGTTAACATATTTGCAAGCAATTAATAACAAATCTTGAACTCCAATTCAAACTTGCTTTGAATAAAGGCCATTGATCCCAGAGGTGGATGTAGTGGACTGGTTTCATCCTGGATGGGCTGGTACCCATCCTGACTTTGATCCTCATTCCAGCCTCCTACACTACACTTACATTATTAACAGAAAGAGCAGACTTGCAGCCCTGATTTTAACCACATTCAATATCAGTGGCCATTTCTTTGGAACATTAAACCTTTGAACTTACCTCTACCCCTTCCCCAGATCTCTCTGCAACTCCATCTCGCTCTTGCAGGATGCTCCTTAAAACCTACTTTTTAAATGACATTTATGATCACTTATCCTTGCACTTTCTGATGTGGCTCAGTGTCAAATGTGGTCTGACTATACTTCTGTGAATTGCTTTTGGATTGTTTTACAATGTTAAGGTAGAATGTCAATCTAAGTTGTCAATGTGTATACTGCTATTTTCACCACTGGTCACTGGGCTCCAATGCAGTTCAGGGAGAAGGAATTAAATTGTCATATTTCTGACAGTTGTCAAGTCTTCATTGTGAATTAAGTTCAAAGAAAATATAACACAATGCACAATGCTTTTGGGTGGAGTTTTCCCTTAAATGTTTATTGAGTGAGATTCTTGGTGCCAGTACACCATGGCATGCAGTGGCTCTTCTAACGCAGATGTCCATTCTTCACCTCATTAATTATATAACCGGACTCTTGGGCACCTTTCCTGTCAGATCACATGGCCGAAGGTGTAGATGAACTCACCATGGTTGGGTCTGTGAGGTGTTCATGCCATTGGCACCATATTTAAAGTGCAGCAACACACCAAAATAACCCATGTACCAGACTGACTGATACTCAAGACAAAAGCAATTCACACCAGGTTTCATCAGTAACAGAAAGAAACACATTTTAATGTAACACACATAAGAGCAGTGAAAAGAAACGATGACTAATTTATGTAACTTGAACCATACCCTCTCAAAATCGAAACAGACAATTTGAATTTAGATTTAAACAGGAAAGTCAAACTGTTTACCAGACATACTATGGATAGAAAAAGGACATTTACAGAATAAACAAAACCTCATTTCATTGTCATCATTAGAGCCTTAATTTCAGATTTTTTTATTGAATTCAAATCAAACTCTGCTTGAAAAAATCCTTAAAATACCCTGGCAAATTTGTCAAACATGATTTCCCTTTCATAAAACTATGCTAACTCTGTTTGATAGTGTTTACCTTTTCTAAACGTCCTGCTACTTCTTCCTTAACAGTCGTTTCTAGCATTTACACAAAGCCACATGACAGGGAGCAATAGTGGAGGCAAATTCAATCACGACTTTCAAAAAGAGAGTTGAATCCTTTACCTGAAGGGGGAATATGTGCAGATCTACAGGGGAAAGGCGGGGGAGTTTTATTTGGTGAAATGCTCTTGCAGAAAACATGACACAAACATGATGGCCTGACTTCCTGTCCTGTAACCATTCTAAGATTCAATTTAATATTGCCTGCTAATCTTCTCTCAAAATCTCTCTTTGCTTCTTATAATAACTTTGTCAGTTCCCTCTTGCATTTTCTGTAACCCTCCTGGTTATTAACTATGACTTTTGTTAGAATGATTTTGTTTTATTTTCAATTTTATTTTGTTTATCATTCAGGACACGTTTGTTTTGGATGCTTGACCCTTTAGCTTGAGGTGTTAAATTGTTGGGAGTTTTTTTTGAGAAACTGTACCGAGTCCCTCCTCAAGTCACTAAAAAATAATAATTCTCCAAGTGAACTTTATTGCATTTGATATTTTCAGATAACATTCCATAATTCCTCTAAACAAAATGATGTTGTTACCACTGTTACCTAATCGAATTCTTACTTTGACACTCCATTTGAAGTAATTCATCTCCCAGATTATGTCAAAGCAGTGTTTCCTTCTTTAACAGATGCCGTCCTGAGTACAGAATTAGAAGTCTCCTTTTTCTTTACCTTTGGACTGTTTTTCCCTGTGTCTGTTAGGAGAATTAAACTGGTCTAAAAGTGCCATGCCCTTGAAACTTGCTCATTCTTTTCCTTCTCACTATTTGTAACTTGACCTTTCAAAAAAAAACTCCCAATGATTTAACACCTCAACATAAGCCAGATAGATTCATGCTTGGAACCATCTGGTAATTACAGGCAAAGCTCACTATTGATACTCTCAAGAAGTTTTTTTTTCCTCTTTATTCATTCATGGGATGAGGGTGTGGCTGACCAGGCAGCATTTATTGCCTATCCCTAATTGCCCGGAGGGCAGTTTAGAGTCAACCGTCAACCACATTGCTGTAGGTCTAGAGTCACATATAGGCCAAACCAGGTAAGGATGGCAGTTTTCTTCCCTTAAGGACATTAGTGAACCAGATGCGTTTTTCAGACAATCGACAATGGGTTCATGGGCATCATTAGATTCTTAATTCCAGATATTTTATTGAATTCAAATTCCACCATCTGCCATGGGGG